GTCATTAAGCAAATCATCCACAGTCACTGACGTCATTTGACCACAACTTGTAGCTCAGCTTTCCCAATGAGTTGTTGGAAGCCAACAATGAAGCTCATAAATAGGGATCATGTGACCATGGGATTGTTCTGACCCAGGTTGCCTAGGCAGAGGCAGGCTTCCCTAGAGTCCTTTATTGCTCTGCTAATTCCACAACAAATGGCCCTGCACGCCGGTAAAGTTCCACCCCAAACTTCCCCGAAAGCAGCGACCCACAGTTCCATAAACAAAGCCAATAACCATGAGCCGGATCGCAGAAGCAGAGAGGAAGTCCAAAAATGAAGTTCATAAAGCAAGGTCCATAAAGTTGTACACAAGATTCCAGATCCATAAGGCAAGGCCAGAGTCCACACACAAGAGTTGAATTCCACAGCAGAAACACAATACAAGCCAGAGTATTCCCAAGGCCAGGGAAATGCATGCCAAGGCAAAGCATGGAGACCTTCGTCCAAGCAGCCTCTCAGACCTCCTTTCAGCTTGCCTCCACTCTACTCTCTATGCCATTGGATCGAATGGGGAAGGCTGCTGTTCCTCAACAGAGGGGATATGCTGCCTCTCAATCGTACCACCACCCGTCTGTAGGTCATCCCCCCATGTGTCAGTGAGGGGAGGCAGCTCCCCATCTGGTTGACCACCTCCAATGCCTGAAGAGCCTAGGACATCATCATCCTCAGCTCCTGACCTCTCCAAACATTCCAGGAGAGCCTGTGGTGGTCTGCTGGCAGCATGTGGAGCTGGCAGCAGAGTCGGACAGTGAGGAGTTTGGGTAGGAACATGGGCCAGTTCTGGAGTCTGGGGAAGACTTGGATGAGGGCTCTGCATCGAAGGAAGGGAGGTGGCCAGGGCCATCTGGTAGTTAAGTGCTAACTCCGGAGCCTGGCATCAGCGAGGCAGAAGAACAGGGGGAGCCTGTTCCTAGTGCACACATGTACAGAGCTGCCAAGAACAGTTAAGACAAAGGGAGGACTTGGGAATAAGGCTTGGAGATGATTGGCCCCTCCAATAAGACATAAAAGAGGAGCAAAGGGACTTGAGCCTTTGCAGGTAGCAATTTTGTTCATTCTGCTCTGTTTAAACTCTGAAGCTCTGTTTGACTGTGCTCTGTTTGGCCTTGCAAAACTAATTGGCAATTAGGTCTCTGGCAGTGTTTTAAGGAATATAAAGGTGGTGTTTATCAGCCTTATCCTGAAAGACTGTGGCAGATTTCTGTCGGACTCTTCAAGACTGGTTGTGAATCGTTACGGACTGTGAATGAACATAATTCACAGCTAAATAAAAAGAGGGGTTTTGGGACTAAATGTGTGATTTTTACTGTCTCAGAAAGCCTAGATCAGACCAGAGCCATGCCATCCCTGTCAGATGATCCTAGTTCTAATTCCTCTTCCTCCTCCAAACTGGGATCCAAAGGGGACATGACAGGGACAATATGATGGTCATAAATACCCTCCAGTTGTGAAGTTTCCAAATCTTAATCACATAACTGTGAGGCTACTTCAAAGACACTGCAATGGCCTTGTTTGAAGACCAGTCGTAAATTTACTTTTTCAATACCATAAGCAATGCAGTCATCAACTGAAGAGTACCTGTACAACTTATTTAATGGAGCTCTCTTTATCTAGTTTTAGGACTTTTGTGGACAATAGAGAATATTTTAGGTCTTACTTATGCAGAAATATTGAAAATTTAAAAAGTTTCACAAATGTTTAAGCACTACTGTATATGAAATTATTTGATTATAAAGTGAGATTTTTCTCCACTGATAATATTTCCTGACCAGGACAAGTCTCATAATGCTGTATTAGATTTAAGTATATAACATTTGCTGACAAGCAGCTCAACTATGATTGCTGGGCGATCCAACAGAAGAATAGTTTGTATAGCACTGCCCTCAAACCCAGCTGTATTATAGATGTAGTTCTTCCTTCCATTCTGCCCTTTGTAGCAACAGATTTTAGCTAGAGCCGATTACAAGATATTTCAGGGTGAAATGACTTTCTTCAAGTGGCGACATGGGATGGGAGAGCTAGATGAAAGTAGCAGTTGATGTCGGAACACTACAAAAAATATTGCCTTTTCCAACTGGCGTCTTCTAATTGCAGTTTCCCCGATGTTCCAAGCTAAGACGGTCAGCTTGGCTCTAGAAATCTTCCAACATGCAAATACATGCATGTTTACCAAATGAATGCTTACCATAACATACAAATGAATGCTTACCATAACATACAATGGCAGCTTTCGCTCCACGATAGTATATACGGCTCATAGCTTCATACCTCTCTGAGCCGGCTGTATCCTAGAGAAAGGTAATGGAGAAGAGTCAGATTTCCACTTAGTGGGAAAGTATGGTTCTACTTTACATAGTACTATGCATAATGCAATGCAAACATTGATTAAACATACCTGCTGTCAGTATTGTGAAATAAAATTAAGAAACTTTCTCACATATCTATTATTTCAACCGTGACTTACCCAGATACCCAAGGTTACTGTGCGGCCTCCCACTGCCATTACTTTAGCCACGAATGCAGCACCTATTGTCTAAAATAAGAAAGATAGATGTGAACACAGATATAGTATCCCCGTCAGTTTTGGAAAGCAAACATATAGTCAATTTACAACCATAAATGGCCCCAGAATTACAGCTATGTTGCTGCAATCCTAACTTAAGGCATCATGTGAATGGATCCATTTTTAAAAATATTTTTATAGTGGTTGCTAAGCAAATTTATTTCATCCAAAGGACTCCCCCCCCCCCGCCCCCCAAACCAGAAGTAAATACCATAAGCAGCAAAAATGTAATTGCAGTCACTTGACTGTGGGAAGTTGCAAAGACCCTATTGCCAAGTGCCCAAAATGCGATCATATTGGTGGGGTGGGGTGGGGAGAAGCTACCTCCATATCTTTGAAAACATGTCATAAGCAACTCTGGAGAAGTCCGTCTTAATTTCAAACCAGTCATTAAACAACTGGTCATAAATGAAATACTTTTTTTAGAGGCAAATGTATCATATCCAAGCAACAGTGGCATAAATAATTTGTAAACAGGAAAAACAACTGTTTTAACATTTTCTTAGTGTGCATTACTGAGTGAAACACCTGCTGGCAGATAAGACACTATATATTGAGGATCAGTAACTTCTCAGAAAACATTTGCAAAGCTCTCTTAAACGGAAAGTAGACTTCTCTGCCCCAGTTAAAATGGCTCCTTTTTGAAATAGTTTCACTTCAGTTTATCAGCCGCTCCCCATTTCACAATAAGTAACGTAAAAACCTTCTCAAATTCAAATCCTGATGACTAGAGCCACAGGGCTGTCATTTATCTATTTATTCACTCTCAGCTTCTGAAATCCAATAGAACTATAACAGCAGTTCTATAATAGTAACAGAAGAATATTTTAAAAGATCATCGGGAACAATAACATCCAGGCCCAACCCGGAGTGGGGCTTTCATCTTGTACCAGATCTCCTTTCTCAGGATTTTCTTCAATAGCTATGTTTTATAGAACTCCTTAACACTCAGCAAGATAGGGGATAGTCTGAACTTAAGAAATAAACTATTTCAATTCTGCACCAGGGAAACACAACTCTGTAAAAAAACAAGGAGCTCTTGGCAGCATTTAGCAAAATGGTTTCCTCCGGGATGTTTGGGGACTATCCAATCTAGCCAATGGCCCTGGGATTTCCCAGGCAATTTCTTATCTGACTGTCAATCAAGACCAACTGTGCTTAGCTGAAAAGATCAGCTAATATTGATTAAAGTTGCTTATAACATTAAAATAAAATCAAGCCTGAGAATCCTAACTTAGTGAAATGTGGGGGAAGAAATGGATGGAATTGTGAAGGATTCAGTACAAATGAGTGGACAATCTTTCAGCACAAAAAAGACAAAACTCACATTTTGATAAGGTCCTACTAGGAAGCGGTTGTGAACATATCGCTCCACCAAGCTGGTCTTGCCTACATACTCTTTGCCCAGCATCACAACTTTGGCATCCACACGCTGCCCGCTCATTCTCCTGCCCTCGCAGCCGAGTGTTGCCCTCCAGAGGGATCCTAAGCTCCCCCAACTCAGTTAGGTGGAGCAGCCAAAGAGGTGCAGCTCAATTAGGCAAGTTCACCTGAAGGAAGGAAGAAGAGGAAGTGCAGTGATTCATCACAACAGAGAAGATATCTGACCAAACGCTAAGGCATCCTTCTCTTCTGTTCTCTTTCTGTATTTGGCAACCAAGAGTGATGGCACCTTGGATTAAGAGCCATGGCATCCATTTTCTTACGCTAAATACTCCTACCTGTGAGAAGACAAAGTCACCAGACTAGAAGCACAAGCTTTTTTACTCTTCCAGTTCAGAGACTTCGCCTAATATCAGTAGGTAACATCAGAATCAGAATAGAGCTGGAAAGTACCCTTAGAGGTCATCTAGTCCAACCCCCTGCTCAAGCAGGAGACCCTACCGTTCCAGACAAGTGGCTGCCCAGTCTCTTCTTAAAGGCCTCCAGTGATGAAACACCCACAACGTCTGAAGGGAAGCTGTTCCGCTGGTAGGCAGCTCGAGAGGCAGGAATCGACCTCGGGGAAATCCCCGGCGCGGAAAGGAAGACCTGACTTGGACTGGAGGAACGGTTGCCCGGTGCATTTAGCATGACATCGGAGCACGCCGGGAACGGACCGCTTGGTCCCAAGGACCAAGCACGGGCAGCAGCGCCAAACGAGGCCCGGCAGATACTGTGGGAGACGCTACAACGATACTCACCCCGGCCTCATGTCGCTGGAACCGGCCAGCCACCGCTACTGGAGACGAGGCGAAAAGAAGCAGCGGCCTCCTTCCGGGCCGCCTGGGCCAAGCAGTTTCCCAGGACATCCCCGGGGAAAGGGGCGGGGCTTCCATTCGGGAGCGGAAGCGCGCTGGAGGGCGGGGGCGGGGCCTGGACTGAAAGCAGGGAAGGGAGGAGGCAGCGGCGGAAGAAGCGCTGCCGTCGCCCCGCGGAAGTCGTTACTCCTCTCCTGTTTCTGCATGGCGGCTGCGGTGTCCCTGCAGCTGCTGCTCCCGCCGCCATCTTTACCACTGGCCGCTCTGCGTGGACGGGACGGCGGGAGAGCGTGAGCCCGGGTCGGAGCAAGCCGGGCCGGGTGACGCTCTCCGCCGGCTCCTTCCTCCGCCTCCTTCTCCTCTCCCGTCGGATCGGTGACCGCGGAGCCGATGGGGAAGTACTTCCTGACCCTGAGCGTCCTGAAAGGGCCTTGGGACCAAGTCTTCACCGCCTTTTGGCAGCGCTACCCGAACCCTTACAGGTCAGGGGGAGCGAGCAGGGACGGGGCGCTTCTCCGTCCTGTCGGGCGGGCGGGACTGGCGCTAAGCTGCCCTCGTCTTCTGGCCGAGGGGCTCAGAGAGGCATGGGGGGGTGGGCGGGCGGAGAGGGACCGTAGTTACACGGAGCGGGTTCTTCTTTCGGGGCAAGACGCCAAAGGGCTGCTGTTTGCGAACCTCCTCTCATTCATCCTGCTCGCTACTACGGGTGTGGCTCCGGCTGCTGTGTCGATCGGGGGAAGCTCTGCGCCGACCCGGGATTCCGCCCCAGAGGTAAACCTGGGAAGCCCACGGACAGCCGATGAAGCCAAAGGGGAGAAAACGGAGGGATTGTGAATCTCAACCTTTTTTTTCCTTCCCTCCTAATGGCGAAAGCCGCTGTGTGACCCTTTAGTGCAGTGTTTCTCAACCTTGGCGACTTTTAAGTCCTATGGACTTCAACTTCCAGAATCCCCCAGCTGGCTGGGGAATTCTGGGAGTTGAAGTCCACAGGACTTAAAGTCACCAAGGTTGAGAAACACTGCACTAAAGGGAGGAAGGGAGCCAGTGGAGCTGAGCTGGTTGGTTTGAGTGTCACCTTACAATGGGTTAAAGGAAGCTTTTACTACTGTGAGTGGAAGCTGAAATAATAGGAAGTTGGGGTGGTATTTTAGAAATTCAAAGATTCCTGTGGAAAAAGAATGATCAATAATGGTTTGACTCAGTTTAACTGGTGCTAGAAGAAACTGTTGTCAAAATGAGCCCCTTGGGGAAAGACCCCAATAGTGTAGATTAAAATAATACTCCTGAGGTAAGTTTAGTTAGCAACTGCTTATCTTCTCAAGCCTCTTTTATCCTGATCTCATTAATTTATAAGGTTAATCTTGGTCATTGTGTACTGTCCTATTTAACTTACTTTCCCTACTTTAACACCTATATTTGGCTGAAATAATTAAAAGGTGGTCGACCTAATTAAACATAAGACCACTTCTCTTGCCCATTGGACTCTGAAATAAAATAAATGCATGCTAGTAGAACTGAAAAATACGGCATCGTTCAGTTAATCCTCCAGGGAAAGATTGAAGGTGAACGAGGTCCAGGCAGAAGAAGAATATCATGGCTTCAAAAGCGAAGGGGCTGGTTTGGACAAAACTCAGCAGCACTTTTTCATGCAGCTGTTGACGAAAATAGGATTGCCAACTTGATTGCCAACGTCCAATGATGGATATGGCACAAGAAGAGGAAATACAACTGTAATTCTGTCAAAAGTAAACCTGAAAGCAATGCTTCTCCATTTCTCCTTCCCAATCAGGATAGGTGTGGTTTTGACAAAAGATTCTAGATATGAAAATAGGGTAGCTAAGACAGAAATAGTATTATTTGACTCCACTGAATTGTGACTAGATAAGTAGGGAGTGTTATGCTGCTATTTAATTATAGTTGCACAACATAGGGTAATATCTTAAAATTCTCTTGTCTTTTTTACCCAGCAAGCATGTCCTAACAGAAGATATCTTGCACCGAGAGGTGACTGATGACCAGAAACTGCTTTCCAGGAGGCTCCTAACCAAAACCAACCGGATGCCACGCTGGGCAGAGCATTTCTTTCCACCTAATGTTGGCCGCCATGTCTATATCCTAGAAGATTCCATTGTGGACCTACAGAATCGAACCATGACCACATTCACCTGGAACATTAATCATGCACGTCTGATGGTAACAGTAAAATGTTTTACATTTACTTGCCACCACTCAGGCAACATAAAATGACTCAGAAGGTTTGAGGAAGTGATTCTTACTTTGGAATGCTGTCTCCCTTGCAGGTAGTGGAGGAGCGATGTGTTTACAGAGAGAACCCAGAAAACAGTAGCTGGACAGAAGTCAAGCGGGAAGCTTGGGTCTCCTCCCGTCTCTTTGGCGTTTCCCGTGCTATCCAGGTAAGGGAGCTACAGGTGTATGCATGACAAAGAAGAGACTGCCTGTAATAAACAATCTGGGACTACTGGTATCTAGCTGAAAAACCAGGCTGATTGCTCAATATTTCAGCTCTCCTAATAAATAGAGAAGAGGCTATTTTTATCTCTTTGCTCAACTGGCTGTTCTCTTGTTTTAGGAATTTGGCTTGGCTAGATTCAAGAGCAATGTGACCAATACTACTAAAGGTTTTGAGTATGTGCTGAGCAAAATGCAAGGTGGGTACATCTGTAATAGCAACTAAAAACGCATACATAAAATGTAGATTAAGAAAATTCTTTTTGGACTTGTTCTAAGTACCACAGGTATTCCTCAACTTAAAATCACAATTGAGCCCAGTTTCTGCTGCTAAGTGAGACAGTTATATCCCATTTTACAACCTACTTTGCCACAGTTAAGTGAATCTGTTTATTAAGTTATTAAAACAGTTGTTAAGTGAATCTGGTTTCCCCACTGTCAGAACGTTGCAAAAATGATCATATGAACCCAGGATATAGCAACTGTCATAAATATAAGCCACTTGCCAAGTATTTGATTGTGATCATGGGGATGCTGCAAGATCATAAAGTGTAAAAAACTGTCATAAGTCACTTTTTTTCAGTGCCATTGTAACTTTGGTCACCAAACAAATGATTATAAGTTGAGAACTACCTGTATTAAAAATTAAAATCACTCTTCATAGGTAATGACTTAAAATTTTATACAATATTTTCCAAAATCGGAACAAACTAGAGTTTTACAGAAAAACTAGGTACAGTGGATATATTTACTTACTCCTGGACTTTTGGCTTATTGATTTTACAGGTGAAGCACCATCTAAAACACTAGTGGAAACCGCCAAGGAGACTGCCTTGGCGGTTACTGAGAAGGCAAAGGACTTTGCTGGCAAGGCAGCTACTACAAAAAAGCAACAGTATGTGTGAGAAAACAGTTTTTCCACTGAAGGAACTAAATGCCACTGGCAGAGTGATACAATAATACTGGAAGGTTCATTTTAACTTAAGCTTCCCTTCCTTTGGAAGTTGACCAGAATGTCTGTAGATTTTATGTTTTTTTAATTAAGACTGTACAAATCTGACAATCATCTTCTTTCTTAAAGGTGTAATTATCATTAAAAGA